GACTTGAACCTATATGGGATACGATATGCATAGTAAAGACTAACTTTATTTATTCATATTGGATTCAATTTCAAGGGCAACCCTACGCCCAGCAAACAGAACTGTGGTTTTTCGTGGATTTGCCGGGGAAAAAAATAATTATGATAATGGTGGACCAGCACCAATTGTGGCTGCTGAGCCACAAATTAAGAGTGGCTTGTTAGTTGTAACGACAGATCTCAGATCGCAAGTGGTTAATCATCTTTTGCAAAACTCTAGTTTTGAAGCGGCGTGGTACGTGTCAAATACGTTTTATGATAATTTAGTCTATGGAATAAACTGATTTATTTAATATTTAGGTGGTTCTCCGTAACAGGCGAACAATTTCGCCTTAGCGGTGACGCATACGTACTTCCGCACCCATCACACTCATTACTCGCAGTTTTCCCATCAAAAACCCTCGCAACAAACTACTTTACTCCACCAACTCCAGAATTTAATTGGGAAGCGGAAAGAATACGATTCTGGCATAAAATGCCAGCTGAACTACGCGCGTTTTATACACGTCCAACACCAGGAACTCCAATTAAAGAACAAGAAGAGGATAATTATTTGGAAAAGTTGTCAGCTGTTGGAGAAACAGAGTCTGAAAAAGAACTGGTGAAAAAAGCTTTGGAAAATTTCGCATTGATTGTTATGAAGGCAAATGCAGTTGATTACTTACAGTTATACACGACTCCAAATAAACGTACGAAATGGCTTTTTGATGAAACTACCAATCAGTGGGAATCGTTCAAAGTTTTTCCATAATTGTAAACTACACGATAGTATAACGATCATTACCTATTATTTTTTATAACCTGCATGATATCTTCATGCTATTAAATTAATTATTAAAAAAAAAAAAACAAAAATACAATCTAATAATACTCAATGTCATGAATTTTTTGCGTTCAAAAACAACACTATTAAGAGAAAGAGCTTTTTTAATTCCCCTTACTATTCTTATCACCATCATTCTCTTTTCGTATCTTTAAAAGCGATTCGATTAGGAAGAATCCATCGTCTAAGCTGTAATAATCCACTCCCTGATGTAATTCTCCCAATTATCGATCGCTTATCACTTCCAAAGGAAGCTGACGACAATGGAGTGATCACTGGTTCATCTGTGAATGTGACGTAGCCACTCTTTGTGACTAATGCATATGACATCCTAGGTGGTTCTAGCGGTTGACGTGGACGTGGGGTTGTTGATGGCGGTGTTAATTGAATTTTTGTGTCTTCAATTTCTTCTATCGAAGGTGAAGTTAATCTAAATACAAGAATAATATAAGAAATAAAAAATGATGAATATTGTCTAATCTTTCCTAGACGAATTAAACATTGATTTATATAATAAAAAAAATATCTACGTTTTAAATTCGCCAAAGATAGGTTCTACCCTACTTGCTAAATAAAAATCACCAGGTCCCGAGAGTTTTAAAAATTCCTAAAAATTAATCACAAAAAATCAATATGAATTGCTAATCAATACAAGCATAAAATTCAACGAACATACCGGCCCTCCAAAGATCCATTTCCTTGTCTTCACGGAAATCCGTTTCATCGTTTCCAGCGTTGGTTTCACCGAAGGACTATTTCGAAAATTTTCTACAACCGTTGGCATTCTTTCCGAGACTTTTGAAGCAACGTTTTCGACGATCTTACGACCTCGACTCGGTGAGGATTTAATTAACGGTAATGATATTGATGGATGAGTCAACGCGTCCCATGCGATTAAATGTCTTGATTATGTATTGTAACAAAATTTTTAATTCAAAGTCGTGATCTATATTCATAGTATATCAAATAATAGAAAATTCAAGTTATACTTTGGATTGACTAAATATTCGTCTCCAGCATTCAATACCAGACGATGTATTGCACCATAATTTGTGATCACTAATGTTCCTCTACCAGTGGCCCGATAAGCAAAAGATCTTAGAGCGCCCTAATACACACATAAAGTCGAGATTTGTCTTAATATTCACTAAAATAATAATACTACTTGTATTTTGCTAAGTAATGTGACAAAAATTAAGATACTTGCCATTCCTTTCACGCCACCAATTTTCAGTGTAACGCGTGGTCCTCTCGCTAAGAACGCTCCTTTTCGCACATAATACTCTGACCTGCCATCCATATAAATAGCGGCGATATCGGACAACGCGCCAGGTGTCATTAGAACATCTCCTGGAAGTGATTCAGTCGTGAACTGCATGCCAATCGCAAAATAATTTGCATGAAATAATAAAAGATTCAAGCTTTATCCAGCAACTTAACAATTCGAATGCCTTACTTTGTGATATACAAGTTGTCCTCCCGCTATTTTCCGTCCAAGAGCAATCACAAAATTTCCGTCAACGGTACGTTCTGTTGCAACCTATAGATTTAAAAATGATCAAGTCGGATGAAAAATCATTTCATCTGTGCAAAAAACTTTGAACAAAGACGACGCGCGGTCAATCTCTTAAAAATAGTTCACACTTTGCTTGATACAGCAACAGCTGTTCCAGGCACTGCATATATTTCGGATTTTGGCGGTAATTTTACTAAAAGCAAGGCGCCTAGACTTCCCGGTGATAATACTTGAAAAGTTGGGTCCGAGACACTTGGATGGGATAACCAAGCCGAAGCATTATTTATGCCTTTATTTGCAAAAGGAAAATTTAATTCATCGAATTTTTTAAATCGAAAATACATAATAAAACTTGAAAAACACGGACGGACCAGGTGATACATGAGAAATAACACTTTCCAACCCTTCCTTTTTCTGATCTGTTGGCACCTGATTTATTTCACCATTTTTTGGGCTGTTATAAGCCAAAGTAGCATAAAAACGCGCATGTATTTGAGGATATGAAAGACCAAGTATCGCCTTTGAAATAAGAGACATGTTTATAAGGAAGTTAGCCCTCAAAAATATACAAAAAAATGGGAACCGTGAAAGTATCCGCGATTTATGATTGAATCTTGACATCTATCATCATTCACGTGCGATCCCATCAAGTAGATCCCGAGAACTGTTTCCCTCTGAAGTGATGCGAATTCCTTTGGTAATATCACGCACACACATATTACGTTTCTAATTAGACTATGATTAATGCGGAAACAATGATGAGAAAAATTTTTAACGGATGAAGGAAAACATATATATATTAACAATAGACGATTTAGACATTTTTAATTATCAATCGCATTATGATCCTGACAATGACAGGCAGCCCAGCCAACCATCAAATCAAAGGCAGCAATCATACAACAATCACAGGCGGAAATACGATATTATGTCAGATTGTATTGTTATATAAAGATACATTATTCTGGGAATCGAACTTTTTTGTTGCGATATCTTTTTTTTTTTTTGATTTGAAAAACGGGATGACACTGACGCGTGCTCAACGTGCCCGTTCTATTAATAATAGGTTGAAATACACATATTTATAGTCGGATTATTGAGCTCTTTATTTTCAATAAATAAATAATTTGTATACAAAAAAGATCTTTAGGGATAAATATAGCTCCAACACCACCAGCTCCGCTATCTTCCTCTATATCATCATCATCCACAATCACGACAAGAAACAATCGCGCTACCATCAAAAAGCGTCCTGCTCGTGTACGTCTTCCCAATAATAATATCAACAATAACAGCAGCAACAACAACAATAACAACAACAAAAGCACCAACAATAAAAGTAACAGTAATAATTATCGTCCCGATCAAAGGCGTACAACAGGACGTAGCATCAAAGTGGTTAACTATCACGAATCTTCTTCCACGTCATTTTCCTCTTCTGATGAGAATGACGGTGAAGACAATCTTTCGGTCACTACTACGCAGAATATAAATGACATGAGCGCCGAGAAAAAGAATCGCCGAGAAACAAGCCCTAGTACCTCCGTAAGTTTTTGATTATAATCCATATGCTTTGACTATTATTAGCAATTCAGCTGCTCTAAACTAAAAATCATGTTAGGAACTTGAGAGTCTTGACGATGTTTCTGATCTGTCGAGTAATATCACTTCAGGTATAAAGAATGAGTGAACGATGATTATAAAGACATTGAATTCTACTAAATCATCACAAACAACAGAAGAAACTGACGATTCCAATTCCGATACTGAGCTCAATGTTCCGATTTTTACCAAAGAATTTTTAGCGTATCATAACGGTAAAATTCATGTCTTCTGAAATTTGATCCATTCTTTTTCATCATTAACATATTCCAATAAATTCATCCGTCCAGAAAAAGAAGCTAAACAATTTCATCTCTCCAGTCTAAGCCAAACGAGCACTAATGAAATTGATACGTTTCGAACTCGCATCCATTTGATCCGTTCCGACTCAGAAACGAAACGGGAAGAATCTAAGGCGTTAGAGATAGCCAACCAACAAATCATTCAACAAGTCAGCGAGATCCGTCTTGCGTTAGGACTATTGGAACGTATGATTGGTCCAACAGTCAGGTCTTCTGGTATGCGGTTGGACGATGCCGAAAATTTAGCCGCATATGTTGATGGCTTTCGTGAGAGAGTGGCTAGCGGGTGTCTATTACAACCCGAGTAGATATCAAAATAGAACCTAGTTTTGGTATTATGTAATATGGCTAGTCTTTGTAGCAAAAAAAGGTAGTTTAGTTAGTGCTTTTTATTAGAATATTGGGTCATTGCCGAAATACATACTACCTCAAAAAGCTATGGTTTTACGTTCATATATATATATCATTCTCATAACATTGATGTAGCTAAACAAGGCGATTTAAAGTGTTATTTATTATATGGGGCAGACTGCAACAAAACCTAAGTGAACATTTGGTCACATGACACAAATGATAGGCTGATGTGGCTGGTAAGTGAAATATGCATCCCATCGTTTATGCGATAGTATAATACCCTAGCCACGGCAAAAAAATTATCTTGCGATTTGATTGGTTTACCCCTTAAAAAACACATGACCCGACACTTTTTTTTGCCGTGGCTAGGGTATTAATTGATTTTCATCGCGATCAACAACGTTAATAAAATCAAAGTTTTACTTGTTAGTCCAAGACTGATTATTATCACGTCCGCCTTTACCACTGATGATAGGGGGATCACGCATCCTTGACATCCGCTCTAAGCTCGGACGCTCGCGTCAGAGTTATGCGCTCGCGCGAGAGGATGTTCCTATCTCAGAGGAACGCGGGACGCTAGCGTTTTTGCACTTCCCCTAAGGTCTGACGCTCGCGTCAGATTTATGCGCTCGCGCGGGAGGGTGTTCGCGTTCTGTCAGGTGTGGACGACCAGAGGTAAATTATTGTTTTTATTGTTTGTTGCATCGTCGTAATGAGCGCCTGAAGCATAAGAAACGACTAATAAAATTAATGGACATCGGGGCATTTTCGTAGCCAGCTGCACACTCTATATTCAGCAACCAGTATGTCACTTGCAGTCAAAAAACCACGATTCAACTATCTTTAGCTACAGACCCCAGCCAAAAGTTTGTAAACACTTTTTTAATTAAAACAAAACTTCATTTTTTTAAAAATATACCTGCTTGAGACACAATATATCATTTTTTGTTTTTACAACATGATTTACATTTTGTACTAATAAACATGTACTCAATTGTGTTTTGTTGTTTCTGAAAAAACTAAACTAGATACATGATTATACCTGATCAACAAAATTTTTTGATATGTATGAATATGTTTTTCACTCAATATTAAACCTTACATTTTGAAGCCATAACTGTCAAATGTTATGAGAAGATAATTGTTTTAATCTAACCTTTATACTATTATACTAACATGTTATTGTGTCTATGTTAATCAAAATTACTGAATAACTCATCATATGCGTGATTAACAAAATCATAACACCCAATTTTAAAAAAATCTTTAAAAAATAACTACAACTTGTTCTGTTTTCAACCAGTTTTGATAAACTTATTATGCAATATATTATATATTTTTTGAAATATATTATATATTTTTAGCAACAAAACAAGCCAAAATTTACTCAAATTAATTAGAAAATAAAGACATTACAACTGTTTTTAGATGTTTCCAAACTTTTGGCTGGGGTCTGTACTTGGCCCTTTTTTACATCTTCGAGTCGACCTAGGCTCCACTAAAGAGACTTTCTCATCAACTTGCCGATAGTAATGGGTTTAAGGAGATGTATCGTAATTCTTTAGGAAGCTCTACTTTGTTCTTATTCTTTTTGGTACCTGCAGAACGTCGCGTACAGTAACCTTTCCTTGAGGACGTTGAACATAATGATCGATTTCTTCTATTAGCTCTTCTTGCTTCGTCAACTCGTCCTGCAAGAAACCACGTGCGAATGTCAACAAAAAAAATGCACGCGTAAATCATGTGTACAAAGCTTCGCTTAAATACATACATGTACTATAGCCATCATTCGTAGCACTGCCTTCATCTGCATCCTTCCGCTATAAGTAAATGGGACGATTGCCGTAGCCAGCTCTGCTGCAAGAAATCGTCCATCCTGAAGCATCCTTAAGGAATATAATGTGATTCGTGTATCTAAAAGAAAGAAAGAAAGTGAATAATGACATGGAGTGAATACATCAAAACTCTGTAATTATGCCACACCAATAGCTTACTTACCGATACCTAGCATTGAAAACACCTGTATCCTGCTAGCAAGAGCGACATCACAATCTAGCCTGTCCTCTAGAATTCTTAATAGGTTGAGGGTGTCCGTTCGCAACGTTTTCTTGGAATCACCAAGTACATGACGACTTGTCCAATTCTTGGGAGGCCCAGCAACTTCAAGATGCCATACTTCCAGTCCATCTAGCATCCGCGTCCCCTTTGCATCAGCCAGCACAATCCCAGAATCCTCTTCCGATTTCATCATTTTTGCGGAGGTCACGTGCGTTTCAGCCCAATCGAAGTCAATTGAACCGAAGGTCTTCTCATAAAACTTAAAGAGAGGAACCACATGGTATGCCAAATATTTGCGTTCTCCAATTTTGCGGCTCATGTTAGGATACAGATCCACCATGTTGAAGCTTGTATTTAACAATGGATTAATTTTCTGACAAGCATAAACCAAAAGATACGTAATGTACGTACAAGTCTTCTAAAACCTTCTTGCAATACAATTTGAAGAGGTTCACATTGTCATCAGTGGTTTTTTCGATAGCCATGTCCTTGGTCTGTGATTGTAAACATGAGATTTATTCTATGTAGATTAAGTGTGTCTGGTAACTTCTGAAGAACATGCTTGCCTTTAGGGCACTATCAACATATGCCTCTACAGCTATCCATATATCAGGACTGGTACTTCGTCTAGAGGTAATCCCCTTTTCTGTCTCCTCACCCACTTCAGCTGTTAGTTCTGCCAGTGTCATATCATCAGCCAAGATGATGTTGACGTCATGCATATATCTGTCAGAGAAAGTTGGGTAAGCTGTATTGGTTTGTTTTGTTTCTTTTTTCACAGTGTATAACAAGCAATAGAAACATACTGTTGCATGCCCTCGTCTGACATCACCCGCTTGTTTGGTGAGATCAATAGTTTAGTAGCATTGACTGGCGTTAGAGGAGGAGTGGTAAACTTGTCTTGAGATTGGTCTTCCTCCAAGTTGTTTTGTGCTTCCTGCGCCTGTTCTTTTTCTTCAAGAAACCAGCTATCAAGAGCTACAGCGACGTGCGTGCCACCTGCAAGTTCAGCTTTTGCTGTAACTTCCTTCTGGACAAAGATAAGTTTGTAATCAATATCAATTAAACTAATTCAAACAATAACAATAAAGTCAATCAGACTCTACCTTCAATCTATCTATCCGATCCTCTGTTGTCTTGACCTTGATGACATGCTTCACAATTTCTTTGAAGTGTTCTTTCCTCGAAGACTAATTATAAAAAAAAGAGTAAGCATGAAGCGCTTGTATTTTTAGATCTGGGCTGTTATCAAAACACTCACAGTAGCTGCTTTATGTAATTCAATACAATATTCTCGAACATTTTCTGGCACGATCGATTCTTTACTAAGTGCAACTAAAGATCCGGAGTATCGAGATAAAATACTGCCAACGGTATTGGATGGTTGTTTTCGTGTAAATGCAGCAAAGTCGCCCCATTGTTTAGCGGGTGTTTCTTTAAAGAATGCATCGACTTTCTGCAGGTTTTGTGGTGCAGTATACGTTGAAGTCATTGGCCCATTGTCGATTTGCTGAAATTTGACATGAATTGCAAACTGTTAAAAAATGTGCAATCTGCGACATAACGAAAATCATCATGTGGTCGATCCATCTTTCTCACTGTATTTTTAAATAAATTTTAACAAAGTAAAATTTATATATAAGATTATCTGTATATGAAAAGTAATAAAAATGGTCCTTCAGCTGAATATGAACAAGCAATCAATTTTTTGGAGAATGGTTGTGGTTGTGGTTGCTCAGCCAAAGTTCCAAAAGAAAGATTGGCTGAATTACATGAGGCCTTTCAAGCTCTTTCTAAACCAGAACAAGATATTTTCTTAATGGCTCAATTAAAAGCAATGGATGGTGGTGTAATAAGTACTAGCCGACGTCTGAAAAATAAAATTCGTGCTAACAAAAACCTTTTACCATTGAAATCATAACACACTACTTTGTCAAAAAACTTATCTCAATATGCTTGATATTGATAGAACTTACTTTGAAAATATTAGAAATCATTTAATTAACAATGGTTTGATTTCAAGACTTCATGGCAATATCAAAAGTCCCAATGAAAAACCAAAATGGTGATTAATCATCATGTTGTGAAAAATTATCTTGAAATTTATGTTGAAATTTATGCTGAAATTTATAAATAATCTAAATTTTTACAGCCTCTAAAATTATTTAACGTCAATTCTCTGATCGTGCCATTCAAATATAACATGATCCTTGATAAATTCAATTTTTGATTAAATTAATCAACTTTATTAAGAACCGGTGCTTCACGCGGTTGATCAATGGCAGAATTTTTATGTTTCGAATTTATGAATTTTTGCTTCCATTTTTCATTGATCAAATTGTAATATTTTACCGGTGTCATGTCGTATTTGTATTTTGGTGTCTTGGGAGAAACATAAGGTTTAAACTAGTAATAGAAAAAATAAGATGAATTCATAGTTCAAAGCAACTGCTGTGAACATAGTTTCTAATAAGAAACTCCACGAGGGTCTTTGATATAAAGTTTCCCTGCGGATCTAACCCAAATTTTAGAATATATACTTCAACTCGGGACAATAAGGTATTCTAGAAATATTTTTAAAGAGCCTCTTACTGGTAAAACTATGATACGTTAAAGCGTACATACCTCACAAGTATCCAAATCTGGAGGTACTACATAAGTACGAACTTTATTCCAATCAATAATATACCCACCTAAGATTAAAATAAATATTTTGATTATCATTATCATCACCAACTAATTAACTATACGATATGCTGATAATAATTTGAAGAAATACTTCGTTTGGTATGCCATCCCATGGCACCCGACCCAGTACCTATTATGTATTATTAACCATAAATTAACTTTAATCATGTATTCCAACAAAAATATCATCTTTTATTTATATTCATACCCTTGTAATATTGATGACCGCGCTTGGAGGTCATCGGAGCTCTTCGAGGCAACTTTCTAATCATTGATAATTTTTAATAGAGGAATAATATTAAAAACTTAAAAAAAAGGCATAGGACAAGGGAAAATCTTTTTGGGTGATCGTGGGACAATTTAAAATGTTCCTGCACGATCGTGATTGGCCTGAGCCACTCAACACATAAACACATAACATTTAATTTTGATCGTTTTAGAAATACATGTACACTCGTTTCTTAAAACTACTCTTTGACGCAGTTTCTATTTTCCTCGAGACTAACTTTTTGTTATTCGTGAAATACAAATAAAATTTCAAACTTTCGAACAAGTTCTTTGACATTAACACACAAGAGTATTATCAATTATCAATTACGATGAATATGGAAGAGAAGCCGAAAACGTATGAAGTTAAATTACCACAGGATCACTTGCCAGCAACCATTACTCGAATATCTGCAAAAATAGGAGACAAAGTTACAAAAAATGATTCCCTCTTTTTTCATAAATATGTTGTTGGAAACTTAGAACAAGAGCTTGTAAATGAAAACGGTAACATAACAGAGAAACAAAAGGTAACTCAAACACACGGTGAATTTTTCAAGAGTCCTGTAGAAGGAGAAGTGGTTGAAATTCTAGTTCAACCAAATCAACAAATTAAGAACACAGAGTACGAATCTTTATATCACGCTAGTTTGAATGATTTAACAACAGCATTAGACTGTGAACTCTGACAATTTTCTTTGTATTAGCGAAGTTACTGTTATCATAAAATTACCATGCCCGCATGATATATTATTTGGAGGACTTTGTGCGCTGTGCGGGCAGGATTGCACCAGGTAAATATCATTACCACTATTCTTTGTCAACTCAGAATTCATTTTAAACGCTTCATTATCTTAGAGTGGAAACACAACGTGCCACAATAAATATGGCACATGATGCTGCACGATTATTTGTTAGCCAATCCGTAAGCTGTTGACTTATTTATTTCTTTATTTGGTTTTCGAAAGCATTATCTAATCATTTTTTGGAATATAATAAATTAATTGATTCTCAGGAGGCAGAAAGATTAGAACAAGAGACTGCCGAAAGACTTAAAAAATCGAAAAAACTTTCGTTGATTGTTGACTTGGATCAAACAATTATTCATGCTACTGTGGATCCAACAATTGCAGAATGGATGAAAGACGAAAATAATCCGAATCATACTGCGACAATGGTAATAAATGTTATGCAACAAGAAAAATTTAAACGCACGTTTACTATTCAGGTATTTTGAGTTATAATTTACTTTTCTTCTGTGACTATAAGGACATAAAAGCATTCGCACTGCCA